CGCCCCAGTTGTCGATGTATACCACTTGGATGAATAATAAAGAGACATGCGAACTGTTTCGTACGAAAGTCCAACGGAGACCAAATGCACGGTCGTACTTGAAGAAGCTTCCTTCTTCTCGCTCCGCCATGTCTGACGCGTTATTATTCATTCAAGAGGAGCTGCTTTCAATCACGGCCGTGCATTTGGCTGGTGTTCATTCGATCCTCACGGACACGTGACTCTCTCTCTCTCTCTGATCGATCCTGAATGAAGCGTGGGTGACAAGTGATCCCTCGAGCTCCCCTCGGAATAGTGATTAACACGTTGACTGCCGCGTTTCGAGCGTTTGTAGCTCTCTTTCATAACGAAGGAAAATTGTATTAATTAACGACTGTAACGGTACACCTGTTTATCTTGTGTTACTGGTTTTATTCAGTTTTCTTATGGTAATCGTATTTAAGCAATTTTGAAGCTCCAGTCAACGTCTTAACATCTCGAGAAAGAACAAATCTGTATCACACTGGAGACGTTGCTAATAATAACGAAGCTGAAAGCCTCGAGTCAGGTTCCAAAGCGAACTTCGTCTACGCCTTGCACGATATTTGCCTCGGACCGCGCGTATCTATAAGCACCGCGCGGCGAAGGCGGCACGATAATAATAAAGTGACTTGAATTTACAGATACCGCGACGCTGGAAGAAACGTCCGCGGTCGTCGCCAAGAGAACGCTTCCGGAACCCCCGCCGGTAGCGAAAGACGCGTCGTCATCGACTGCGAACGGTACATCGGCGGGCATCGGGAGCACGCAGGACGTTGTCTCGAAACTAAATGGCGAGGAACGCGCAGCGTCGCTCGGAGAAATTCAAAAGAGACACTCGGTCTCCACCGGAACGTCCCCGCCGCCGCAGAACATCTCGACTCAAGTAAGAAACGAAGAACGAGACGCTTAGAAATCGGGAAACTCCCGGCGACCGATCCTACTGATTTTTATATAACCCCAGCCGAATACCGGCGAGTTGGAATTGTTTCAAGAAACGATTCCCGGTGACGTCACTGACGAGGAACACGTGTTTCAGACTTACGACTACCTTCCGGCGAGGGGGAGCGCGGGATTCGCGAGGACGGCGTCGGGATCTAAAGGGCTGTTGTACTACGAGGACAGCGACATGGAGGTAAAACGGCCGCGGACGGTCGGAATCTGTTGTAGAAAGAGAACGGGCTCGGATATTCCAAAAATATTCATTCGCTGGCAGTGTCGAGAATTTAGAGTCAGTTTTCCAACAGTTTTTCGAGTCGGCGAAGGTCCGCAGTTAAAGCGTCGGTTATTTTGAAACTCGCGTTTGGACCGCGTTATTGGCCGGGCCTTTAAGAAATTGGCGAGGCTCGTTCGTCGCGCGAGCCAAGAGCGCCCTTTGAATTTTTAACGACGCGGCGGCTAACGAACGGTTTAATGAAAGGAGCCATTGGGAGCGTTTGTTCCAGGAGCAGAGCAGGTTCGCCGGCAGCCCGGACCCGTACGCGCGCACCCAGGAGCAGCTACTCCAGCAGCTGATCGCTAGCGCCAGCAGGGAACGCACGCGGCGAAATTCGATCGACTCGGCTCACCTTTATTATCGTTCCAGGGTAAACACCGCCTGCTCCTCGAGAACAAAACGGTCTCCGATCCTTGTCCGATCCACGCTCCGCTTTAACCGTGTGAATCTGTAATCGGCGTTGACTCGGAGCCCCGTAGCCTCGGTGTGAACGTAGGCAGGATTTACCGATCACCATTGCTTCCGTAGATAGTGAACGTTAATGAGCGTCCTCTGGTTTGACTGGCGAGGCTGATTAGATTAGACGCCGCCCGTACACGTATAAGTAACGCACACTGTCGCGGACAGTTCCCTTGGACATTGCGACGATCGAACCCCTCCGAACACCTGTGCACACATCACGTGTCCCAGACCTCTAGCCCCCCTCTCGCCCTCTGCTCCCGTATGGATTTTTCAGGGGTTAGTTAGCCGACCGTTGAATTAATTTCGTGTTCCAGGAGTCGAGCCAGCCTAGATTCCTCGAGGCAGGCCCTAGTTCCCAAGGAGTTTCAACGTTGACGCGGCAAGGCTTAGAAATTGTCGAACTTCTGCGAGAAGCCGAGAGGCACGGTTACTCCACCGACGACGTTCAGGTGGCTTTATCGCAGGGCGCCGCCAACCCCATTGACTGGCTGAAGGCGCAGTGGCCCCATTTGGTTGAGACCGTGCAAGTTCTGGCAACTACTCAGGGAAAAGAGCTGAAGGAAAACAATGTCGGCGCGATCACCGCCGCCGAGGCGAAGGAGGCGTTGAGATCGGCCAAGGGCGACGTGTGGAACTCCGTCGCCGTCGCCGTTCAACGTAGGCAGCAGAAAGTAAGACCCCCTCGCCGATCGCTGCAAGTGAAACGGCGGATTGCCGCTTCGATCTTTAAACGATACGTCGCTTCGCTCGGATCGAAGATCAGACATCGAAATTTTCAGTCGTCTTCAACCCCTTCGTACTATTTACTTTCGCTGCTAAGCTCGTGGAATATTTTACTATCGACAATTTAGAAGAAATGCAGGAGAATTTTGCATTCTACTTCAAGTGAAGATTTAATCTGAAGATAATATATTAACACGTTGAACGTCGCACGATTTCATAGAGCAAAATACACAAAATGGAAAAAATATAATATTAAATCATTTGATTGAATGTGATCATCGCGTTCAGAAGCATTATTTGTAATACAGAAATGTTGTCAGTAATTCGATTTGGTTGGGGGTCACCGGTGACCCCCACGGCATTCAATGTGTTAATAATAACAAAATAGTTCGTTTCCATCCGTAATGCAACATTGATTGTTAAATAGTCTAGAAATCATTGTACAAGGGGTTAAGAACTCATTTCGAAATTAACCGGTAACTTTCATGCGGATTTCTCGAACGGATCGAGTTCCATATGCAACGTGATTACATATTCATTCGTAAGGATTCTCGTTTATTAATGACGTTGATCGTATCGATAAGTGAAATCCGCCGAGTCAAGTGCAGCAGCGAAAATGGCCCCGGAGCGGCGGAAAGTTTTCGTTGACGCGGAATTTCAAATGACTTCCACAGTGCGAGGAAATAATGAAGAAAGGTAACTTCGCGACGGCGGAAGTTGTGAAAGCGCTGGAGAATAACGCCGGCGCCGAGGACGCGGCTTTATTCGAGCTACAAAAGAATCAGCTCAAGCCGTTTTTGATGAGGATCTGGGGTCCTCCGGTTGGGGTGGAAAATGACGAGGCTGCACCGCGGGAAGGTCAGCGAACATTTCACCTTTAGAAGAAATTCCCGCGAAGAATTCCCCGCCGCGTAGTATCAGAGAACCGCTTTTGATCAGGCCGATGCCCTTGTCCCCCGGCAGTGCCTCTCCTTCCCCGTGGAAAATGAAGTTTCATTGAGAGCGAGAAGGGGGACCGTTTGAATAATAACCGAGGCCAAATCAATTAAGTCCGTGTGATCACGTATTCTACTTCGACGCTCTGCCAACGAAGAAAGTAGAACCGCGGCGTTCGATTGGCGAAATTGACTGTTTAAATTTTCTATCGGGCGGCGACGGCGCGTCTCCTGAATTCAATTATTGAAACGTGACTAGAGTATCCGGTTGAATTATATATTTTCCAATCAAACGCGTCGCTGCTCGCGGAGACGGGCATTTTTCAAAATGGCCGCGTCCCGTGCATCGACCGGACGCAAACAAACTTCCCCCTTCAACTCCGGACAACTTCCTGAAGGTTCCCAACGGCTGATTTCCACTGACAAACGCTTTTAACGGGTGCACTTTCTAGCGTGTTTACTCGCTGAACGGTTAGTTGCTAGAGAATCGTTCGCCAGTCGCGGGGAATTCGGTGTACGTGATCGAGCGTCGTTGTTCTAGATGCGGCAGGTGCGGTCGGTGGTGGTACGGGTGTTCCCGAACAGGTTCCCAACGTGTCGGACACGGAAGCGCGGAAGCAGGTAATATCACCAATCGTTGAAAATTTCGTGGCGTTGCAGGCCGACTTTCAAAAGCAACTGGCGGCCCTCAGACAACTGACCGATAACTGGCAACACGATAAAGACCCCCTGAACACACCCGGTAATAAGACTGATAATCTGTATGAAAGTAACGCTGATCAACGAACCGTTCTAATCGATAACAATCTGGTCCCAAGGGCCGTACAAGACCTCGATGTAGCCGAGGCCCTTGAAACGCCGGAGAAACGAGACTCGATCGGCCCCAACGACGATACGACGCGAACGACCGTAAACGAAACTGATTTATCTCCTAAAAAAGACAATGCTCTAATCGAAACACCCGACACACCTGTCGACCCTAAACGCCACGATGAGAAAGCTCCCGAGATAGTTATCGTCGAGAAAAAACAGGAACAGACTTCGAACGCGATGGAAAATTCGATAAAAGAAAATGGGATTAGCGAGAAACTGGACGAAACGATTGCGGACCCTGCTAAAGAATCGAAAGATCGATCCGTTCAGCTGCAAGAGAGAAGAGACGCGACTGTCGATCCGAAAAGTCACGATACTCCAGTGATAAGTGTAATTAAGAATGAAGAGAAACAGATTTCGAGTCCGTCGAAAAATTCATTAGAAGATGTGAATTCCAAGGTAGCGAAAGAAGTAATCCCCGATCGTGATAAAGAAAAGGAGGATCGATCCGCGAAGTTACCAGAGGCGAAACTCGAGCTCGAGGACAAAAGTAAGGACGGTACGATGGAAAAAGGTGGAACAAACGTCGAAGCAGATAAACCATCGTTGGGAGTAGAATTAAACGCGCGAGACGCGGACAGTTCGAAGGAGGATACAGAACAAACGAGAAGGCTAACTTTGGAAGTAGCACGGTCGGGAGACGAAAAAATTCTCCAGCCAGCTGAAGGAAACGAAACCGCATCCCGAGAGACTTCTAAACCCAGTCAAAGCACTATGGTAGCAGATAAAGATTCTCTTTCGACCGAAAGCACGAGTATCCCCACAGAATCACATGCGTTAGACCATGGTTTAGCTGAAAATTCGCCGCAAACTGGCGCAGCCGAAAGCTCGGCAAACGAGAATCAATCGCGAAGCGAGGATAGCTTGCGGAATGAAACAGCTTCCGCGATAATTAACGAAGAGCACCCTGGCCAGCCACGGGAGACGACAATTTCCGAGACAGAGACGTCGGAGAGCAAAGAATCTCTCGGTCAACCTAGCGAATCCACCGGCGAGAAACAACAACCGTCGTCCGTGAGACCGGAAAACGGTTCTTCGGTCAACACTGCGCAAGAAATCCCGCAGAAAAGTAACGAGACGCAAGTGGCCACTGTGGAGGCATTAATATCAGCCGTGAAATCGCTGCCGGAGCAACTATTGGGTCCATTCATGTCGGCGATGCAGATGTTATCCCCAAAGAAGGCGGCGGCGCTCGATTCGGTGGCCAAGAAATTGGAAGAGAAAATGCAAGAAGTAGTGGGGAAAGATACGGAGTCCTTTGAAACGCGCGAGAGGAATGAGAACAAAAAGGAGAACGATAAAAATGGCGCGGAGCTGCCAGCGGAGAAGACGATTGCCGAGGACACGAGAAACGCGGAGCCGGAGACAACGAAGTCCGTAGCTGCGACACCAGAAACGACCGCGGCCGCCATCAAAATGCTCCAAGAACTCGAAACGGTACGTAGATGCGAGAGAGACGGTAGCGTTGTTCAAACTAACGTAAAAGAAAGGATATCGCCGGCGCCTGAAAACTCGGAGCAAGCGAAATTTCACGGTAACGAGGTCTCAAAGGATCGGCACGCTAAACTGACGCAGCCCCGGGACGTGGACACAAAGGAGATGATATCTGGGAGCGACGCAGCTAAAGTAAGTCCGCAAAAATGGCCGCCGGACGCCGCGCGCGACGCCATTGACCGCGTTAGGCCCGGGGAGGACGCTGATCGCGCGAAAATGGACGATACCCGGCGAACCGCAGGTGATGCTTTGAGCGTTGATGTGAAAAGTTTGAGAATCGATTCATCTCATCATCCCGAGGCACAAATAATGAACGAGGAATCATCTTTAAAGGAAGCGAACGTCTCTTCCTCGAATAATACCGACGGCGCTCGATCTAACAATGAATTAGCCGCTGCTCATGATGTAATCAGTCATAACGAAATCATCGCACCGCAATCATTACCGAACGAAACGTCATCCTCGCTGGCACGCGACTCGGAGGCATCCGATCGTGAATCATCCGACCCGCGAACGCATTCCCCGAAAGTTCAGAGCAGCGACGATAACCGTGTGAAATTAATCGATTGCAGTTCAGCCACTGACGACGCGAATCCTACGCAAAACACACTTACCGCGAACGTTCACTCCGACGCTAATGGTTTCGCTAATTCGCTCGTAACACCTCCCGACTCACTTTCTATTTCTAAATCCTCCGTTCCCGAACAGCCGGCAGGTAATCAGGATTCGAGAATAATTGAGAACGGAACTCCCGAGGATTCCAAAGCTTCTGTTGAGATTCCCGACGTTCCCACGGACGCTGTTATCCAAAATTCTGTAGATTCTGAGAATATTATCGCCGAAATATCAGAAACTTCTCGAAACGCTCGTGAAGCTGTCGAGCATCGGGAAGACTTGAAAAAAGAAGTTTCCAAGAATGTTCAAGCTAGCCCGGAGACCTTAGAGCCTAAACCTGTAGAAAACTCACAGATCATCGCGAACGGAATTCCGACAGACAGTGAACGCCCAAGCGAAGAAACGTCAAAGGCATTAGAGCCCGAAATTCTTCCAAACTCTAACAACCCCGTCGAAATACCCCGGGATCCTAAAGTTGTCACAGAAATTTCAGAAAATTCCAAATTTACTGCAGATGAAGTTCCCAAAGACCCCGAAGGTCTTACAGTAGAAGTTTCCCGAGATTCCAGCGCCCAGCAACAAGTTCCCCCAGACCCCAAAGCGCTCGATTCCGAAATTTCAGAGCCTTCCGTTCAGAATCCCGTAGATTCCCCGAAAGAACTTGACGATGCAATAAATTCCCTAGGTCACGAAGTCAGCGAGATAATTACAGATATCGTTTCGACGAACGCTGGAGTCATCGTTGAACCAGCATCGAAAGTTCCCCAAGAAACTCCGGTCGGCCCTAAACCCTTAGTCCCCGAAGTTTCCGAAAACCCAGAGGCCATTAAAGAGGCAGTTCTCGAGGATCTCCCGGGCAGCGATCATAAAGCTTCTAACGATCCGGAGCCCGCGTCCCAGGAAATTTCTATAGCTGCGGCCGGCGTTGTTCAGGAGGCCAGGACTCCCAAAGTTCCTAACGAACCGGGAACGCTTCCCCCAGAAATGTCCAAGTCCCCGTTGCATGTATGCGAAAAAGTGGAGCAGCCTATCTCCGTTGCATGCCACATACCTCAGCCAGCTGACAAAATCGATACCCGTCCAATAACTTCCGTAAGTAAGTCGGCGAGCTCCGGCGAAAAACCGGGGAAAAGTGGGCTGGCTGTATCGGTGTCCGACGACGGAGACAATGAGGTAACGAAAGACGTCAATCCGGACGGAATAAAGAATGATTTAAATAGAGCAGCGGGGGCCGGCGCAGGGCGCCCCGGGAACGAGCATTCCTCGGCCGATCGAAACGCTTCGGCAACGTCCCCGGATCCCACTTCAATTCCGAACGATATCGACGCGAATAAAAGGCCCGAGGCACTCGCGGCCACCGAATCGACAATTTTAACTATTTCAAGTGACTCTCGTATTATCGGTCCGCCGTCGAACTCGCATACCCCGGACACCGAATCCGCCGTTAACAAGCTGAATTCTACAGACGCTCGCGAAATGCCGGGAACCCTCGACGATCCTAATGATATTGTCGATACGTCGCGTAATGCATCCATTCCGGTCGCCGGAGTCAGCCCCGCCGAGCCGGATTCGGCGAGCCAATTTACCGAGGCCTCGACGAAAGACTCCAACAACAATACACCGGAGGTAACGTGCGCCGAAGTTGAAGCGATCGAATCGGAGAAACCGCGTAAAGATGCGATCGACGCGTTCGACGGCGAGCTTTCGAGTGCACCGAGTCCCGACGCGAAGGGTTTCAAGATGGCCGAGTGTCAGAGCGTCGTCGACGTCGCGCCCGGAGTGGCGGAGATCATAGAGATTAACATAACCGAGTCGCCTATGATCGCGGTGAACGATTGCGCGCCGATAATCAGCTTGGAGAGCGCGGCTGAAGCGAAGGTTCAGGAATCGATGGAACCGAAGGCTGAAGTTGGGATCGAGGCGAAGGAGACGGTCGCAGTTGAAGAGAAGGTGGAAGACGTCGATGACAGCTCGGTTGAAACGGAGGCGAACGGTGTTCTGAGGGTCGCGATCAAGGAGAGATCGAAGTCTCCCGGCAAGAAGATCGGCAGGCGGAGGTCGCCGGTGAAGGTGGTGAAGAAACCTACGGGGATACCGCGCAGGAACTTCGGCAAAGTGTGCCCGAAGGGCGCGTCGAAGTGCGTCGCGCGAACGAAAGATGCGACGACGGAAATAGCCCGCAGATCGATCGCGTCGAGCCAGAGACCAGCGAAAAGGGAAACCGCGGCGAAGGGAGACACCAGGGCCGCGAGGATCGCGTCGAACATCGTGGCGGCGAGCAAAGCGAAGGTTGCGGCCGGTCAGAAGCAAGTCCGCAGGAGTCCGGGATTAATCGGCCCGGCGCCGGAGAAGAGATCGGCGATCCTGAAAACCATATCAAGGGGCTGCGAGCAGATCAGAAAGTCGATCACGCGCGGCTCGTCGAAGGAGAGGAACGCGGCCGAGAAGGGGAGGAACGAGAAGCCGAGGGGCTCGTTCCTCTCGAGGATCCCGGTGTTCACCGGGCGGCGGCGTCCGCAATCTGCGAAAAGTTCGCAACCTTCCGAGGGACCATCCGCCGGTTTAAATAGCACGGGGAGCCGGCGAACTGCCGACGAAACTAGTTCATCGGGAAACGCTTCGAAGGTACAGCCGAGACAAAATATTGGCTCCGATAAAGCCGATGCCGGTTTAGCCGCCGAGAAACGGGACGTCGCGAGGGGATTGACGGCGGATAGGAGTATAAATGGGAACGACGAGAGAAATAATTCCGCGGCGAAGAGCGCGGGAACACCTGGATCGATCGAGGACGAAGCGAAAGATGATATAGAGGATGATTCAGACTCCAGCGAGGGCTGCACGCGAGAGGTGGAAGAGTACTCGGACGTCGACGGCTCCTCGGAGTTCGAGAGCGCGGCGGAGTCCGAGATATCCGGCACGCCGAAGCATCTCTCCGACCATACTCTGGACAGCATGGACGAACTGACGGACGCCGAGATCCGGCTGCAGGAGACGATCAACGCGATCAAGGCGAAAATATCGGACTCCGAGACCGAGGACACCGAGAACCTGTACAGCGACGTAGAGGAGAACTCCGATTCCAGCGACACTCGCGCCGACAAGATGGCCGCCAACGGTCAGATAGAGGATCTGCCTCCGGAGGAAGAGGAGTCGTTGGAGGACGCCAATATCGACGAGACGTCCGACGAGGATGTTACTTTAATAGCCGACGACGTGAATCTAAACCGCAACCAGAAGACTGACCAAGAAACGAGGAAGTTAGGCGACGCTAAGAAAACTGTAAGAAATTCAGTGCAGACTGTTAAGAAGGAGAAAGCCGCGAAGTCCGCGGTGGCGATCAGCCCGCGCAAGGTGGATTCCAACGGCACGATCGAGGGAAAAGCCGCGAGACCTAGAAAGAGGCTCGAAACGAGTGACGTCAAAGCGGAGAGTAGATCGGATTCTAAGGTCGGGGTGAAAGTATCGAAACGCGCGAGCGAGAAACGAGCGAAAGCGTGCCGCAGAGCGAGCACGGGCAGCGATAAGGGTGTGGAACAGGGAGGCACGCCGAAGAAACGGTTCTCCCTGGTAGCCAGTTGTATACGTCGGTTCGAGGGCGAAGAGAACACGGAAAGGGAGTACGTGGAAAGTACAAGCGGCTACACGAAGACAGGTGGATCTCCCAAAACGGAGAGGGAGGTCAGTAAACGTTGGTCGTCAGACTCACTATGCCGGTCGTTGCCGATGGCAGACCAATGTCTACAAACAGCTCGAAATGCGAAGCGAACGGAAACGAGAGATGTATCCGAGGCGTCCCTTAAAGATTCTTTAACACTGTTTTGATTGTAGTTTGTTAGACCGTTTGAATAGAACCCGTCCGGGTGGTAAGTAAGCATCCCCTTTCTTCTTGCCGTGACTAACCTTTGGTGTTGTGGGTGGCACTGAAGCTACAGCCGAAGAGGAGCCGCGAGCGTGCACCGAGGTTTGTATGAGAAAGCGTGGAGAAGAGAGTAATCTAATATCTCGGGTCCTCCGTCAACCGGGACGAAGGCGTCCTGGAACATTGGGATACTTATGGTTCCGCTAATCGTGACGCATCGTCGCCTATTAACGCATTAATGTTTCTTAATATTTCCAGCATCGCCGGGCCCGCAATCCTCTGTCGCTCATACTTAACAAGTAAATTAATATTCCGGTCACTATCGGTCGATGTTGCCGTCGAAATTTCAAGAGCTCGTTTCTAGACGTTGGTGTAGTCTCTCTGGCTTCTTTCTCTTGCATGCCGCCCTGTTCTCGCATCGCTCTGTTTGCGCATCAGTCTCTCCTTGAAACCGTCGAAGATCTTCACTTCTCGTTGTCACTCGTTCAAAGTGGGGACCTCCGAGATTCAGAGTATCGCCGACGAAACACGCCCGCCCCTCTGAAAGTTAAAGCGTGCATTAACTTCAGTCCTCGATTCGATTACGGTGCCGAGTCTGCGTGAGAATGTACATTAAGACGCGTCCTCTCGAATTCACAGAGAATAGCTCGTCGTCTGCTGGCCGAGGGCAAAGCGTCGAACTACGACGAGGCGGAGGTCGCTGCCAGTTTGCTGGCCTTGAAGTTCGGGGACGTGGAGGCCCTCCACGCAGCCAAAGAGTGTTCCAGCGTGGAGTCGGCGCTCGCCTTTCTGCAGCAGGAATGCGAACTTTGCACCGGTCGCTTCGCCATGAGTGAGGTAGGCGAATTCCGTAGGTAATAGTCCGATTCAACTCGAAACTGAATATTTTGGAGATCTAAAATAACTGGATAATCTGGAACAAAGTCTCTGTAGTTACTTATAAAAGTCTCGAAGAATAGCAACTCCAACTGTGTAACCCTCGAACGTTCCTTTCGAGTTGAGTTTAATTCAACCGCAGCATCCAGAGACCTCTGAATCTTCGTTCTCAGATGATCTCCATGCTGAAGTGCGTGCATCGTTGCTGCAACGAGTGCGCGAAGAACTACTTCACGATCCAGATCAGCGACAGGAACATCACGGACGCGGTCTGCCCGTACTGCAAGGAGCCTAACTTGAAAGACGCCGGCGAGGATGAGATTCTGGAGTACTTCAGCAACCTGGACATCCAGCTGAAGACGCTCCTCGATCCGCCGATCCACGAGCTCTTCCAAAGGAAGCTGAGGGACAGAACGCTGATGCAGGATCCTAATTTCAAGTGGTGCATTCAGGTATGTTGGGATCTTGTTACGATCGATATATTACTTGACGCGCGGATCGTCGGTTTCAGTGCTCGAGCGGGTTTTACGCGGATCCGGATCACAAGCGACTGATTTGCCCTGATTGCCGATCGGTCACCTGCGCCTTTTGCCGGAGACCGGTACGTACCCGCAGGTGTCGGGGATTCCACGGAAATTAAGCCTGCATTATGCAACGGCGTGACGTAGACAAATCTTCTCGAGCGGCGGTTTCATTTTCAGTGGGAGAAACAGCACGAAGGAATTACGTGCGAACAATTTGCCGCTTGGAAAGACGAGAACGATCCGGATAATCAGGCCGCGGGCTTAGCCAAGCACCTAGCGGATAATGGCATAGACTGTCCCCAGTGCAAATTTCGGTACTCGTTGTCTCGAGGAGGTGAGCTCTTGAAGAAACGATTTCTTTCTTGGGAGTCGCAGGTTTATACGAAGCCAGTATATAGACGCATAAATCGTTTAAGAATCTTCTTTCGATCGCCATCTTAAACTGAAAGATGAAACATAAGCTTTTCACGGACGTTTGAAGGCTTCTTGAACCTGTTACCCTCAAATTGCACTTTAACCCTTAACGGACCGGAAGTATTTCAAGTTATATCGCTAGAGAATACATTCATAGAAGTGACCTAACACAATACTTAACGCGTTTGTTGTAAATATTACAATAACAGCGATGAAAACAAAACTCAGTTAACATTAAGATTCGGTAAGTAAAAGCGTCACGTCGCTTATATGGCGTTGGTCCGTTAAGGGTTCAGATTATCCTGAGACATTCTTACCCCTGCAACCATGAGAAGCTTCGTCTCCAAATATTCCGATTCACTTTAACCCTTTGCACTCGGGAGGTGACTCAGTCACCATTTCCCACAGTGAAGCTATAAAGTTTGATATTTAATATTACACTTCATATAATGCATCAATCTGAGAAATATTCGTCGATTCGGGTAAATTTCTCGTCGAGTCGGTTTTACAAAACATCGTCTTCATCTCCTCAGAAAATGTTGAAATATTTCTAGTGAAAAGCTTCGGAGTGCAAAGGGTTAAACATCAGATTTTACAATTGTACCGCGTCGAATCGAACGCCGACTGAGACTCGCCTTCCGAGCGCAGAGGGTTAAAAAAGAGAACCGACATATTTTGTGCAGGTTGCATGCACTTCACGTGCAGCCAGTGCAACTACGAATTCTGCTGCGGCTGCGGCAAGGCGTTCATGATGGGGGCAAAATGCTCGGTCAGTCCGTACTGCGCGAAACTGGGCCTGCACGCTCATCATCCGCGGAACTGTCTGTTTTATCTCCGCGATAAGGAGCCCGCGCAGTTGCAGCAGTTGTTGAGAGATAATGGGATCGAGTACGACACGGAGGGCCCGGTCGGGGATCGCAAGTGCAAAGTGCAGTTGCAGAAAGAAACTCCCACCGGTGTTGTGGACGCGGTGTGCAATTCAGACGTCGTTGAGGGACACGCCGGCCTCTGCAGGTAATCTCCTCCCCTCCCGGCTAGAACTTTGCATGAGCCGCCTCTATCAAAGCCGCCTTACTCCGCGGCGCGGCAACGTTACGATTAAGCAGATTACAAAAATGACTGCCTCCGCAATTACCGTGATATTGAGACGATGTATACTTTGCGAAGGGAATGGGTATAATGAGCCACTTAGGCATAGACAACCAGCGTTCTTGCTATCTTTAGAACCGCTTCGTGCCCGTTCTTTCCAAAGAACGCTTTCAAAGGCTGGCTGAAAAAGTAGTCGAGTTTTCGCCATTTCGGACGTAGACCGTGTCCTTTTGTAAGCTGGCCCGTTTCGACGGTGTTATAATTAGCATTGTACACTTTTATGTTCGACGGAGTTCTTTTTCGAAACGGTAGTCCACTCGACAGCCGGCGATAGTCCGAAGGAATCTTAAAACAAAGTTACGTGTAAAGTTACACAGCAAGTTTTTCAACCCTTTCGACGATCTCCTTCACGATCGTGTCATTCGTGTCTTAATGAGCCCGTTCCAACGTTCAAGGATACATTACATCGAGTACCTAGTCCGAAAGATTCGTAAAGTCCAATTGGAGCCGCTCCCGTTGCTAAACGTGGATGATCTTGAAACGTGCGTAAGACGCGCCGGTTTGAAGCTACCACCGAACTGGTACGGTCGCAATCCGGAACATTACAGGAGGGACCTGGCCGAGGTAAACGTAGTAGCATCGTGCACGGCACGACTAAAATTGTGGGTACTTTTCCCCGCAGGCAGCACTACATTGAATACTTGGCGGGCCTGGTACTGAAGGGCAAGCTGGACCCCGTGGCAATCTTTGACTTGAACGATGCCAAACAAGAGCTGCGCCGCCGGGGAAAAGTTCCCCCTGCGAAGGACCAGGAAATGTCCGAGCGGGATTATCTCGAGGCGTGCATTCAGGTGACTAACAACTCCTCTCCTGCATCTCCTGCGGCCGGCACACTGACCGAATTAACAAGAAACGCATGAAAGTGGACCTCCGCGCATGACTTTCGCGACCAAAAACTCGTGTGTCCCATCAGACAGCCTCTAAAAAGTGAAATCGCGCACGGGAT